TTTTTTTTTTTTGGTACCGGGGATCGAACTCGGGACCTTGCGCTTGCAAGGCAGGTGCTGGAACCACTGAGCTAAATCCCCAGTCCCTAATCTTTCTTTTTAAAAGAGGAAATACCAAATTCATTCCAAAAGCTATAGAAGTTTTAGTAATAGTCACAGTTTGCTAGCTTTTTAAGCTTTAAATAATTTAAAGTTTACAAGTTATGCATGCATGATCAACTATTCCCTTGTATTTCATTAAAGTTTCATTTTAGAAGATAATCCATTTTTTTCAGAATTAAAGTCAACTAAAAGCAAGTATAGTAGGTCCCTAACTTACAAATGAGTCCCGCTAAGAGAGAATGTTCATAAGCAGGACTGGTTCCTAAATCCGAGAGTGAGTCTTACACAGTACATCTGTGAAAGTTTGCAACTCGAATGTCCCTAAGTTGGGACTTACTGTATTTATCAGGAAAACTATACTCACAATTTCATAATTTTCTAATCTATTCCAATACAACTGTATTACATTAAGTGGTTGAGTATGAGGGGGAAAAAAATCATAGTATCTATTAGATAAGCAAGATCAATGACTGGGATGTATCTGTATGGATTTGGGGGTATGTCTATTTACGAACTCTGGTGACACTTACTTTGTATTTGTCGCCCTCATTTTTAGACTGCAAGAACTGCTTGCTCATCTCTTGTGTTAAAACAGAAACAGGATTATCTACCTGAAACAAAAGATCAATTTTTAATACTTCACTTTAATCCCTTACAGATAAATAAATTGAGGTATACAATACTATACACTATGGTATCATCAAGAAGACTAAGTACTAGGCGAAGGTTGTAACATCAGAATAAAAACACAAAGAGAAAATGTTAGAAATTTTTTAAAGGTTCAAAATTTCATGACACTGTACCACAATAAACAGTATGGTTAAATTTCAGTATTTAACATCATAGGAAGGCACAAGCTGAAGAACAATCGGAAGTGCCAAGATCTGTCGGTTTTTCATTTTCATCTGTTTTTATAGATTATCACTCTTGTGTCACTGAGATCACAGAGTGGGAAAGCCCCTGCACCCTGTGTCTGGCTGAACTCCGTCCCTAACCTACACACTTCGGGCCAGTTACGGAGCTTTTCCAACTATACCTAAAAGTCCAATTCAGTTATTTCTAATCAGAATTATGTTAACAAGTATTACTGATTTTTCTTACAGCCATGCTTTAAGATTTCCCATATGTCGTTATTCCTTCATGAAGATATGGTAAAACAATGGAAATAATGAGATCATTTCTATTTTTTTGGAGGAAGACTTATTTTAAATAAGTCATTGCTTGAATTAAACTACCTAAACTATCAAAGTACTAGTTGTAAAAGTATAAAAATATAGAACTTGTTTCAAAAAATTCAGGGTTACTATTCAATTACATTTTTAGAACCAATAACAAAGAAATTTACATGTTAAAAATAATCTTTTCGTAGTTACAGGCCATGTGGAATCAGTATAAACAAGACTTAAAAACCCTTAATTTTTACCATCCATAAATTAACAAATATATAATCAGTTAGTAAACCAATGGTTAAAACATTTCCTTTAAAACACTGGGTCATCTCTTCTAAGATAATAAAAAAAATGTATGCAGTTATAAAGAAATCTACATATTTAAAATTTTTAAAGATTAGACTGATTGCCACACATTTTATAGTGCCTCCCTACATGTTAATTTCACTCTGAACTGACTTCTTAAAAGTTCTTAAAACCTTATATACTAGCTTTCATGACAGACATGCTAGTACCGACTCTGGATTAACATCTTCACCAAAGCAGTCTTTGCTCTACACCCTTCTATTTCTTAAAAGGGGTTCCTGGTCCCTTCCAGCTTTACCCGGCAGGACTCTGAACAAGAAAGGCAAACTTCAAACAAAAGACAAGAGAGGCAGGCAACAAATGTGATCAGGTACTTAAGGACATTACATATTCTCCTCCCGCCTGGTTACTCTAGACTCGCACTAGCTCCTGGAAAAGTAATGCAAGCCACATATACAACATTAAATTCTTTTGAAGCCACAATAAAAACTCAAAAATAAAAAGGTAATTTTAGTAATATATTTGAACCCAATAATAAATTTATATTCAAAATATTATTTCCTTAACAGGAAATCAAAATTTAAAAACTGAGCTATCCCTTTTACAGTAAGTCTTCAAAATCCAACATGTGTTTACTGTCACAGGTGTCAACAGAGACGATCCTGAGTGCTCAGTGTCTATGTGGACAGTGGCTACTGCCCTGGACAATGCAGCTCTAAGCCACTTGTACTTTGACCAATGAATTTGAACCTTTAGTTATGAATGAATTAATCCATGTAAGACAACTAAAAGTTATGATAATAATCTTCAAATATTTCAAGACAGAATAGGTTTTATATTTCCCAGGGGAAGCAGGAGCTTAGAGAAATAACTTTATTCAATTTTCCGGAAAGTGAAAACTTTCTAATGAATACAGCTGCCCACCAGAGGTAAGAAACCTCGGGCCGAGATGACTTCCCACCGCTATCCCCTGCAGGGACACCTGGTAGAGATTTCACACAGGGCATGGAGTAGGCGACTATACTGAGATGACCACCAAGACTCTTCTAACGCCCACAACCCGTAACTAACTTCTGGGTTTTCTCTTCTGTCTAAAAAAGTGTCCTGTGATCTAGTCTGAAACATATTTGCTGTTATCAGCTTCTCTCCAGGTTTTAACAAGCATTGTTCCTAAACATGTGCAGTCTGATAATGGAAACCTACTTGCCACGTGCGGCTTTTCCCACCCAGGTGAAATGAAATACAGGTAGAGGTTCAATTTCTCAGTCACACACTTATGTGATGAAGAGCCAGTGGCTAGTGGCTAGCCCAACCAACAGCACAAATACAGGACATAGCAACCGCTTACAGAAAGCGGTTCAGCCCATCTTTGTTTTACATCAAACTGGGAAAGAGATGCAAGCTGTTCTTTTTCTTTGATGCCTACTTTTGGTATTCTTAATCCCGAGGTGAGGCCCAAAGTGTAAAGTACTAGAATTAAACAGGGATAACTGGATTCCAATCTCGGCTCCACCAGTAACTACCTCTAGACAAACCTTAAGTATTAGTTTACTTTTTATGACTCCCCGTTTCTTAAAACATTGGTAATTTTTAAGGAACTTCACAACTGTAATAGTATATACTCTCCCAGTGGTCAATTTACTCACATAAGGGTATTTTAATTATTTATATACATACCACAAGAGAAATCACACCAGAAAACAACCAGCTGCATATTTAGCAATTACCTGGATGTTAAAATGATCAAGAACTGCAATCAGCTCTTCTTTCCTAGTAGAAACCACAGCACCTAGTTAGGAGAAATACATAAAATGACTAGATTACTTGTAGGACAATAATGCAGAAAAACATTTATAATTACTTATAAACTATGAAGATTAATTATGATCAAGGGTTGCAATCAATTCTTCTTTCCTAGTAAAAACCATGGTGCCAAGTACAGAGAAACATATAGAGTGACCATACTGCTTCTAGAACAAAAACAGAAAAAATGTACAATTACCTATAAAAAATAAATAATTTAGTTACCTTTCGTTGTGTACCACAAAGAAAAGCACCACTAAAAATGCTTAAGTGTGAATGAACTAGGGTGACATTCTAGCCATGGCACAGAATACAGAGGAAGAAACTGGTCAGGTGCAGTAATAGTGCATACCATCTCCTGTAGCTAATTTACTTTGTTCCTCAGCTATATCCTTTTTTTTTTTTTTTTTGCTACCAAGGATTGAACTCGGGTCCTTGTGCTTGCGCAGCAGGCGGCAAAACCACTGAGCTAAATCCCCGGCCCGCTACCTCCTCTTTTTAATAACTGTATAAACACTTTCCTCCTCCTTTACACCCTTTTCTATCTTGTGTTACTGATCTCTTTCCATAAGCTCTAGAAACTACAGACGTGAAATAAGGTGTGTCTTAGAACAAAGTGGCCCTCTATTTCAAACTGCCCGGGTTACTCCAATCATGGTGTTGCCACGAGAGACAAGTATGTGTAATGTATGCATGTACCTACACATGTGTGTGTGTACATACACACAACTGACCCTGTTACAAGAAAGGGGTTTCAAGAGCCTGGGAAGAAGCACCTCTTCAGTGGATGCCAGCACAATCACTTAACTCTTCTTGAGTATTCACTAACTTGGTACTTGGGGTTAACTGGCTCTAGGAGGTGCAATCTATGCCAAAACAACGAGGAGTTCCAAACAAATTGTTTTGGTGGTAAGTCACAAGGCAATCACACCAAGTTCTAGTGTGTGTGGTGAGTACCAGATAAATGAGTACAGGACAAAATTTCTGCATCAAAATGCACTGAATATCAAATTCAGTGAATTTCAAAGCAGTAGAGTACTAAGTTATGACTGCATATGAAACGAGAAGAAAATCAAAACAAACCTGTTTGACTTTTCAGTTTATAGGATCGACTTCCATCCATGCTGATGTGCTGCTGCACAACTATGGAGTCACCATACACATTTGCTCTATAGGCATCATCTCCTCTGTTTCTCAAAGTGACTGTGATATCCGCTGAGCTAGAATAATGGGGTGAGGCTAAGTCACACAGAGGCACAGTGCAATTACAGTGCTAAGTCACTCACTAGATTTTCAAATATCCTCAGAAGCCCCTAATAATCTGACTCATCCGTTTGAAAACTGGCTTTACACCCACAGCTGATGGCCAACAGCTCACCAGAGAACAGTAAAGATATTGTGCATGTCCAAAAAATGTTGAGAATAGACTCTCATGAAAAATAACTATTCTATGCAAAGCAAAAATAGTACATTTGCACAAAAACACACAATTTTGGTTGTTTCAAGTCATATACGTAAGTTAGATTTTTTTTTAAGGACTGTATAATCAAGTCATGTAGATAAAGTCTACATTTTCCTATAAGGATAATGTAATCAACATTATACTGCCTGACTACTACGATTTACATAATAAACCATACCAAGAGTAGACCTTTAAAGATGATAAATAAAGAATTATGGCAAAGTAATAACATTTTCAATTAGATCAGAATTTAGGGAGGCAATTTTATTTCTTCAATTACTTGGCAATTTAAAAAAAAGTGAGCTAGGCATAGTGGCACACACCTATGATCCTAGCACTCTGGGAGGCTGCTGAGGGACTAGGATCACAAATTTGGGCCCAGTTTAGGCAACTAAGGAAGTTAGTGAGACTCTGTCTCAAAATAAAAAATAAAAAAAGGTGTGGGGATGTAGCTCAGTGCAAAGGCCTCGGGTTCAATCCCTAGTACCACACACACACACACACACACACACACTCACACACACAAAGGAAGTATCTGAATACCAAGAAATATAAGCTGGGGAGTGTGCAGGAGGTGGGGAAAGGTTAACTCATGGGTACTAGGTTACAGTCAGACAGAAGCAAGTTCTGGTGTGCTAATGCAGAGGAGGGCCTACCACGCATGACGGTGATGGACCACACACTTCAAAGGCTAGAAGAAAGGATTCTGAGAATCTGTACCATTAAGAAATGATTAATTTCTCAAAGCTTTACTAGCATTACAAAAGATTTTAATATAGTATGATGCAGCTAAAACACATGAATGATAAGAGTACAAATCTGCCAGAGAGGCTGTCGTAGTTTTTCAGGTTAAAAAAGTCTAAGGCATTACTTATGTATATTTTAAGACATTATGGGGGACAATCTTCATTTGGCTACTCTAACTTCTATTGAAATAAGATGGCAGAAAAACAAAAAGACTTAGCAGAAAAACAAAAAATGTTGATGAAGGATATCAAAAAATACCTACTATATTTCCTTACACATAACATCAGAAATGTTTCCTTGATTCATATGATCCTATGCCCAAATGCCAGAAGTCCTCTGAAACAAAACTGTTTTAATTGGCAATTAATGGAACCCTTTAACACTACAACTTGTCTTCCTGAGTTTGTGACATACTCCAAAGCTCCCCCTTTGTAGAGGTGCAGGAAGCTGTACCAAGACAAGCTTCACTGTCAAGTACTGACGGGACAGCAGATGCAGGAAGGGCGTGCTCTGCTCTTGCTCTCCCACCCTCTCCTTCGCAAGGGCCCCGGTAGAAGAGGCCCAGCATCCTATCAGTCAGCATCCTCTCTGTGCACTGACCTAAAACTAAACTCCACGTAACTGAGCAATTCAGATTCTGTTCTGGATTTTAAATTCAAATTCAGAAAAACTGGGGCTGGGGAAGTAGCTCAATGATGCTGCGCCTGCCTGGCAAACGCAAGGTCCTGAGTTTGATACCTGGTACCAGAAAAAAAAAAAAGAAAAGAAAAACTGGTAAAATCCTAAAATAAGTCTATAGCTCACTGCATAGCTTTGTTAACTTATCTTTGTTATGGTAAGATATCAACATTAAGGCAAACTGGGTGGAGGATATACAGGAAACTGCAGTATCTTGTTAACACTTCTATAAGTCTAAAATTACTTTAAAATAAAAAGTTTCTTAAAATTCAAATTTAGAAATGATCAAGTCAAGAGATGGTGATTCCTTAGAGATGTAAGTTAGTCTCTGCAGCTATAGAACCTGGTTGGGGCATTCCACCTGATGAGGAAATAATCTACGCAGAAAAGCAGGAGTACAGAACAAACAAGCTCTTGGGGAACCACTCAGACAGACAGAAACAGCCACTCACCCATAGGTATTAGCAGGGAATCAGAAAGCCAGAGAACACAAGACCCCTTCCTTCCACAGCCACAGACTGAGACAGTAAGGCAGAAGTGCCTGCACACGTGAAGACACAGTGACAAAGACTAGGTTTATGAATAAGAAAGAACTCATGGGCTGGGGATTTAGCTCAGTGGGACCGTGTCTGCCTCGAAAGCGCAAGGTCCTGAGTTCGATCCCCCCGGACAAAAAAAAGAAAGAACTGACACTGTCTTCTAAAGAAAAGATAAAACAGTCACATGCACACCCATCACAAAGGAGGAGAAAATACACAGAGAATATAGCCAACAAGGGAGAAGAGTGCAAGAAGTAGAACAGAGGAAGGGCTTCAGAGCAGGCCCAAAGCACAGAAGGGAGCAGCAGACAGAGGCCGAGACACACGGACGGCCAGCGCACACACCAGACAGACCCAGAGACAGAAGACACCCTGGTCCTTCCGCGTGGTCCTTATGAGACCCACTTGCATCTCTAGGAAAATATACTTTTCCAGAGCTACCTTGAGTACATTGGTGGTTTTTTTCTCTCCAGAAAAATTACCAAATTAAAAAAAGGTTCGTTCCTCAAAAATTGTAATGGAAATTTTAGAAGTTTCTCCAAATGGAGTTTTTAAACAGGCGAAGCTCAGAACCATTAACTTAACTATAGGACAAGGGAAGGGCAAACAACCTGAGCTACAGACCACAAAAACGCTTTCATTAATGACTACGACTCCTCAGAATTAAGCTAACATACCTTATAAAAAGCACTTAAAAATTAAGTAATTACTCATATTTGCTCTCTCAGCATTATCAAACATGTCTCCTGATTAGCAAACACCACTCTATTACCTTCACTCCCTGGATTTCAGAGTTAGCGTTAGTAGGAACTTTGGGGCCCTGGTATCCTGCTTCTAAATAAGTTTAACAGCTAAGGAAAGTTTTTGAAACAATTACCATTATACAGTAAGCCTCGAAAAACACAAACTTATGCAAAGTGACAAGCACAACTATACAGGGTAGTTGTGCCTCCCTTTACACTAATGTGGCCTTTGCTGATGCTGAATTTGGGTCAAGAGCCATAGAGCCCCAGGTCTGTATCAATGAGAGTTCTCTCAGGAAGCAGCTATGTAAACAAGCAGTCCCACAGTAAACTTTGGTTTCTGAGCTCCAGAAGAACCTGCCTCGGCAGAGTAGCTAACAACAGCACCCGCCGATGGAAACAATAAACAAGGAAAAACTCATGCAGAAGCGCGGCGCCTCCGCTCCTTCTTGGGCAGGCCAGCTCCTCCAGATGAGTTCTCAATCCATAACTAGATAAATCAATAATATAAAACAGGAGCATGAGTTTCTGTCCCTCCATAATCTTTGTGCCACTGTGAATGTCAAAAATAGGACTACTGGGCCAGGAATTTAGCTCAGTGGTTCCGCCGCTTACCTCACAAGCAGAAGGGCCCGAGTTTGATCCCCAGTGCCAAAAAACCCACAAAAAAACAAAAAACAAAAAACCCAAGATTACTGCAAAGACCCCAAGGCCACCAGGGCAGTTTCAGAAGGGCTGAGGGTGGGAAGAGGAAACTAACATGTTCAAGGAGAACCTAAAAAGCAAGGCGTGCAAGACCTTGTGTGACTGAGGGATACCCCATGGGAGGAGCTGCACGGTGAGAACTCAGGTGCTGTCCCCAGGCTGCTGCAAAGGGCTGGAGCATGACCAGACAAGAAGTGTAAGCTAGCACAAGCTAGTTTTTAAAATTTTAAACAGTACTCAGGACAGGTCTCAAAAAGAAGTTTCTGCTTTAGTCCAAGTACTTCCCAAATTGGAATAAAAAGTTTTTGAAGTATTTGAGACATAAAACACTTAGAGGTACATAAAAAAATTTTCTTCCTGAAGCTTATGTTTGAAAGATCAGTGTGGTATCTGGCAGACGAAGTGACTGTATGGACAACCACAAAATGAACAGTTAGGTATAATGAAGTAGAGCTGCGACCATGAACTCAAAGATGTTAACATAAGTACCTTTCTCCTTCAGACATAATTTGTTTGGGAGGGAAGAGAGGACCAGGAGAGACTTTGGGTGGGACTCAAATGAGATTAAGTGCAAACAGAAACTTCCCTGAAGAATTCTCATCCAAAAGTTCTCCTTCAAGGCAAAAAACATGGGAAAAGACTGTATCCTTACTTCTCTTGGGTTAACTTGGAATCCTGGCTTAAGGTTAAAATTCTTCTAAGACTTCTAAGCAATACATAAGAAGCTAACTATCCTGATTCACATCCCATCCTCATTCCACTTTTGAGTAATAAAGAAAATAAACGGATCAAACACTAAGGAAAGTCTGACATGAGAAAAAAGATACCAGCATTAATGTTCATAATTATAAAAGTCTGGGCACTACACACATTAAGGAAAAATAAGAAGACACATTGGGCCAGGGACTTAGCTCAGAGGCACCGTGCCTGCCTCACAAGCACGAGGTCCCGAGTTCGATCGCCGGTACCAAAAAAAAAGGAGACACATGCAGGTAGAGACTATAACACAATGGAACATTTAGTGGTTATTAGAAACAAGGATGCCTTCAGAAGTATTGGGAGTAGTATAAAAAAGAATAAAGATCAGCCTGAAGAGAAAGCTGCTATTGGGCAAAAGACAAGTCATGTCGGGTGTGGTGGTGCACGCCTGTAATCCCAGCACTTGGGAGCAGAGGCAGAAGGATCCCTATAAGTTCAAGGCCAGCCTGCATTACAAAGTGAGGCTCTGCCTCAAAACCAAAACAACAAAAAAAGACAATTTGTGATGGTGCAAACTGAACAATTTACATACAGTTACCAAAGGCAACCTCTAACAAAAAGAAATGTAAGTATAATGCCAAAAGAGTGGCAGTATGGCTATTCATCAAAGGTATCAAGCATAGATGGATCACAAACTTGTGACTGTGGTCTTCAAATCAAACTTATTGGGTAAAGGAAATAAAAGCAAAATCAGAGTACAAGATACTTTTGAAATTTTGTACAGGAACTCATTAGCTGGGCATGGACTCTGCGGTCTCCCTTCTCACATCAACATGGCCTTGCTGATGCTTGGTTTGCATCAAGAGCCAGGAAGGTGCAATGCTCATCAACGTTTCTTAAAACAGAATACATACATCTATTACTGCCACTTCTTTCAGAAAGGTAACAGAAGCAGGTGTGTAGGTGAACAGGCACACGGCAGCACATTACACAAGCTACTAATGAAGACAACAGGCAACACTGGGCCTTTTGGGCAACACAAGGCAAGAGAGAAAGGGAAAGACAGGAAACCTCTGCTCTGATGTGGGAGAGCACTTCATTTCCAGCCAAGGCCCCACAACTGGGAATCGCGGGCACCTGCTTCTGCCTAGAGGAAGGAAAACGCACCAGACAGCACACACTTACCTCTGCCCATCTTTGACAAAGCCTTTTAAAGAGGATCCCCTGTTGGTAGCGACTGCTTTTCCACCAAGCCCGACAATGAGAGCTGTGAGCACAGCACTCTTCCCACCTGAAGAGAGCAATGTCAAATAATTTACATTTCTTAAAGACAAAAGAAAGAGCCGACTCCTACAATTTAATGGGAAAAAACTTTGGAATGAATTAAGTCTCATTTTGAAATACAATGTTAAAATTTTAATTTTCCTCTGGTGACAAAACAGCAAACTTTAAAAAACCCTGTATGTACCATGAAATATTCAGCTCCACTATTAAAAAAATTAGTGTATTTTTGGAATCAAAGTTTTGCTACTCTGAAAGAAGTAGAAAATAACTGTTGTGATATCTTCCCAACCTAAAACTCTTACTGTTCCATCTTGGTCCATCAGCCCAATACAAGAACTTATCCTTCTATTTATACATATACAGTTATGTAATTTTACTACATTCTGATTTAATTATAATTACTACTTTTTCCCTAAATTCTCCGACATCAGAACTGTCTTTAACAATGCTTGAATTTAAGCTCCACATGGATAGGAACATTCCATTCGATGCTGCACTGCAGTAACACAGTTTCTGAGTGAGTGAATGAAGTAGGAAGAAATGAGCAACGTCATGTAGATGTTCATATGTGTTGTATAATTTTTATTAGTTTACCTTTGCTGTACATAATGACTACATTCATCTTGGGGAGTTGGCACATGTGCATAACATGTCTTCATTCTCTTTACATTTCTTTCCCTACCCTCTATTCTTCCTCCTTATGCAAAGACCCGATAATTATTATCCCTAATTTGAATCATTCACTTTGTAGCTCTTTGAAAAGTATACCTGCTGCCCTGATAGATATAAAATATCACAAGCTCTAATTTCAAAATTTTCCCAGGATTAACCAGAATACGGTAACCATTTTCTGAACTCTATGACCAGCCAATCAACTCTTATCAGCTCATTATCTCCCACGATACACCCCAAATCAGCCAACAAACACTGGTAATTAACCCAATGTAGTTCCCGGAATAACTTTCAAGTTCCTATTTTAACAAGTTAACTTTTAACAAGTTCCCATTTTACCAAATCCACTGACTCTACTTGCATTATTTCCCCTTCTATTAAACTGTAATAATAAAATTGCTTCAAAAGTTAAAAAGAGCAAAAACAGTCCCAAGTTCAGAACACAAGTTCTTTCTTTACTTTTCTTCCATGTGCCCTCCTTGTGGTAGTTACCCCTTTCTCTGTCCATCTTCTCCTAACAGCTACTTCCTTCCTGACTGAATGATAAGGAGAGAAGAGAGGGAACACTGGAGCCAACTGTGGCGGTGCAAGCACCTTGCTTCTTAGCCCACAGATGTACCGGGGTAGACGTCGCCAAGCCTCTCTCCGTGTGCCATCTCAGTTGAGCCATCCACACCTGGCGCCTGGCCAGCCTAACACAAGAGTTGCTTAACCAGTCTTTCTGCCCTGAATTTTCCCCTTCTAATTGGTCACACTGTGACCAATTTATTTCCAAAATTTTAGCTATGTCATCTGTTACTCAAACATTTTCACTAGCTCCCACTGACATGTGAGTTACACTCCAAAATCTCTATCAAGATAAAACCTGACTCTCTAGTGTTAGCCTCACGCTCCATGCAAATCTACTTGCCCAACAGTTAAGATGGGCAATCTCCGCCCAGAATATTTCCCAAATGAGACCTAACAAATCTCTAATTTTCACTCTAGTACCAGCACAAATATCATTAAACTTTTACTAGTCACCACATGAGAATTGTTACTTTCACATTTGGATTCCCATTCAATTCACTTGTGCTCTTTTACAATGTTTAGTAAAGGTAAGACACTGGGCTGCCTCAACTGCACTGAGGATAGCGTGTTCACTTTTGTGTGGTATAGACTCCAAGATAAGTAATTTTTTTTAAAAGTAGGAAATTACTGGGTATAATGACAAGTGCCACTTACTTGAGAGACTGAGGCTGGAGGATCACATGAGCCCATGAGTTCAAGGCTGGGCTGGGCAACATGAGATTCATTTTAAGAAAAAAAAAGTTTTAACCTACTGCTTGATGTACCTAAAACTGACCTAATATTTTCTTCAAAGGTAGCTGACAGTAAATACTGAGAATATTCACAACTACAAGTTACAGAACCATAAAACAAATACCTGTCAGCACTAATAGTTACTTATTTCAAAAAGCTAATATACACTCATCTCATTCCTCTTCAGGCAAGAAAAGAGGGTGAAAGGACTTACTTCCATTGTTGCCAACAACAAAGTTGACATTAGAACCGAACTTGAAGGGCCCAAGCATCGAATGGCACATGAAGTTTCTTAGTTGAATACTCTCAATTATCCCAACTTCTGCTACAGTCTAGTAATTAAAAACATGGGGAAAAGAATCAGTCACTTACACTTTGTATATATCTAAAATCAACCACATTTTACCAGACCTCCAGTAAGTTTGAACTCTATTTTAATGTCTCTACCTATTTTGATACTTTCTTTAGAAACACCTCAGTTCTTTTGGACACTTATCTTACTAGAAAGCAGAAAGTAGAACATCAGAAAACATGATTCACAAATTTTTAAGAACTAAGACATTGTGAACTTTTTACCCAGTTTATGGCAATAGCAGCATCTTTTAGAATAAACTGAACATCAGAGACAAGACACACACAGGCTGATGTGGCCAAACTGTAACTGCTGCATTGCTGTAAGCATCCTGCAGGTTGTCCCTCTAGTCACACCCACACCCACATTCTCTACCTCCTTAATCAGAGCGCCAAGGTTCTGCTTTTCCATTTCCGTAACTGTCTTTTCAACACTGAACAAATGGAATCATGCAGAATGTAACCACTGAGAATGGGTTCCCTGACCCCCAGCCTGATTCTCTGTTGCTGCCTCTAACAGTTTATTCCTTCAGTATTTCACAGTAAGCATGTATCAGACTGTATCCACTTGTTGGAGGATACTGGGTCATTTGCAGTTTTTAGCTATTAATCACAGTGGCTATTATAAACTTCTAAAAACATTCACGTACTGGTTTTGTATGAAAATAAATCTTTACTTCTCTGGAACAATGGCTGGGTTATATGGTAGTCACAAGTTTTGTTTTGTTTTTTCAACAGAAACTGACAAACTTTTCCAGAGTGTTGGTTATTTTATATTCCCTTTTATTTTTATTTTTCTATTTGCTGTTCACTATTTTTCCCTTTGGCCATTCTGATGAGTACGTAGTAATATCTCATTATGGTCTTTTCGTATTACCTCGATGCCAAATGATGGTGAGTATCGTTTTACGGGTTTGAAAGTATTGTATACAGCAGTGGTAGCGAACCTATGGCACATACGCCACAGCAGGCTGTTATGACTGAAAGGTCAAAAAGCTTCACCATCACTGGTATACTGTATTACCTGTCATCTGTGCATGTTTCTCCTCAGTAAAATGTCTGTCTTCTGCCCATTCTCAAATTCAGTTGTTTTCTTTCAAACTGAGGAGTTCAGAGTTCTGTATATATTTAGATACTAGTCTTTTGCTGGATATGTGGTCTGAAAATATTTTTTTTCCAAATTGGGGGTTTTAATTTTCTTTGTTTTTTTAAAACAAAGTCTTCTGCAGAGTACAATATTTTTAATTTTGATGAAGACCAATGTATCAAGTTTTCATTTTATGGTACATGCATTCGGCATCAGGTCTAAGACTCATACATTTATCTCTAAGTGCCTTATAGTCCTCTGCTTACACTTACATCTGCTACTCTTTGCTGCTCATTTCTAAGGTAAGAGCCTGAAGCCAAGGTCTACTTGTTTGGCTATCGGCGTGTATGCCCCAGCACACTAGCTGAAAGGTTACCTTCCCCACTGCACTCTTCTGCTTCTCTTTAGAAAGGAAGTCCATTATAATTCCTGTGGGTCTACATCTCGGTTGAGAACCGATCCTGCATTCTAGTGATCTATGTGTCTTTCCCAATACCAACATCACACCACCTTAATTAGTACTGCCATCTGGTAAAAGCCTTAGAGTAAGTAGTCATCCCTTCTACTTCGTTCATTTTCAGTATTAATTATTTTTGTACCTTTGTCCTTTCATATAAACTTTCAAATAAATTTTCCTATATCCACAAAAAATCTTGCTGGGATTTTGATCAAAATTGCACTAAACCTGTATATCATCTTGGTAAAAAACTGACATCTTTTCTGCTGAATTTTCCAATCTATGAATAAGTCTGTCTCTCCATTTACTTAGATCTTTGATTCTACTCATCAGCATTGCATAGTTTTCAGCATACAAGTCCTATACATATTTTGTTAGATTTAGACCTAAGTATTTTGCTTTCTTTTTCAAGACAATTGTTAGAGTGGTTTTGGATTCATAGTAAAACAGAGAAGACACTGAGATTCTCCGACTACCTCTTATCCCACATATGCGTAGCCTCCCCAACTATCAGCATGCCTGCCACAGGAGGACATTTCTTATTGTCGATGAACCTGCACTGACGCATCACAATCACAAGTCCTTAGTTTACATTAAAGGTTCATTCTTAGTGCTATATATTCAATAGGTTTTGGAAAAATAAATACATGTATGAATGTATTATTTTCAGTACTGGGAATTGAAGTCAAGGAGTAGAGTTACATTCCTGCCCTTTTACATTTTTACATTTTATTTTGAAACAAGAACTCCCTAAATTGCCTAAGCCAGTCTCAAACATGCAATATCCTACTGCCTCAGCCTCCCTAGGAGCTGGGACTATAAGGGTGTGCACTATCATGTCTGGTTTAGAAAAATGGAGAATGGTATGTATCTGCCATTACAGTACTGTACAGTGTTTTCAGCGCCCTAAAAGTCCTGTCTTCCACCTACTCAGCCCATCTTTCTCTAACCCCCAGCAAACACTCACCTTTTTACTGTCTCCCAGTTCCGCCTTATCTAGAATGGGCAGGTTCACATCATACAGTACACGAAGCGTTTCCAGACTGACTTCTTTCACACGGTAATATGAATTTTCATTTCCTTCATGTCATTTCATACCTTGATAGCTCACTTCTTTTTAGCATTAAAAAATATATCGTCTGGATGCACTATAGCTCATTGATCCATTCACCTACTAAACAACATTTGTTCGCTTTCAAGTTTTGGAAATTATGAATAAACTGTTATAAAAATTTGTGTGCAGCTCTTTACGTGCTCATGAGTTTTCAATTAAATACCAAGGTGTGTGACTGCTGGATTGTGTCAGAGTATGCTTAGCTTTGTAAGGAGCAGCTAACCTGTCTCCTAAAGTACCTGAAACATTTTACATTCTCCAGGAGTGATGGAGACTTCCTGTTGGTACACCCCCTTCCCAGCACTCAGTGGTGACAGTAGTCTGGATTTTCACCATTCTAACAGGTGTTAAATGGTATTTTGTTGCTCTAATTTGCATCCTGAAACATTTTCTTTTCAGTGATTATAAATGATATATTTGAACTTTAATGTTCCTATGTTCCATGACAATATATAAAAATTTAATTTTTAAAAATGTTTATCTTATAAGTTGTAACTTTGCTAAATGTACTTTTCAGTTCTAAACATTTTTTGTATGTTCCCTGAGATATTCCATGTAAACAGTCAGGTGATCTGCAAACAGGGACAGTTCTATTTCTTTATTTTTTAACTTCTGTATCTTCTGTTTCCATTTCCTGCTTTATTTGCACTAGCTAAATCTCCCAGCACTACTGTGAATAAGAGTTGTAATTCTGGTCTTATTCCTGATTTGAGAAAAGTATTCAATATTTTACCACTAAGAATATTACTTGTAGGTTTTTCTCTTAATATTCTTTATTATGCTAAGGGAGTTCCCTCTAATCCGATTTTTCTGAGTTTTAATGGGAAAGGACATCAAATATGTGAAATACTTTTGCTGTATCCAGTGAAAAATATGCTTTGTCTTTAGTCTGTAATATGGTGAATTACATTCATTTTCAGAATCAGAACCAACCTCGCATTCTGTCTTAGTTACTTTCTCCTTGCTGAGACAAAATATCTGACACCCACAAGTTAAAGGAGGGAGGAAAGATTTACTCCAGCTCACAGTGTGTAGAGGTTTCAGTCCATAGTCAGCTGGTTCTAAGGCAGGGAGGCATAGCAGAGGGGCATTGAAGAAGAGGAAGAGTCCATGGCAGGGTAGTCAGAAGGAGCAGCAAGGAGCAGCAAGCAGCAGCAAGCAAGCAGCAAATCCTGATTTCCCCCCCTCCCAGTCTTTTGATTGGTGCCACCCACATGCAGGCTGGGGCTTCCATTATCCACACCCAGAACTATGCTAAACTCAGTTTATCACATACCCTTAATCCCAGTATCACACTCCCTAGATCCAGCCAGCTCTGAAAAGCCCCACCTATGAGTACATGAGGCTTTTGGGGGACATCTAGATACAAGCTAGAAGAAACCCATTTGATCACAGTGTGTAATTCTTTTTACATGCTGCTGAAGTCTATTTTGTAGTACTGTTAAAGACTTCTTTGTCTGTATTCATGAGGTAAATGGGTATATATTTGCTTTTTTTGGTTCCTCCTCTAGTTTTGGTACCAATATAACGAATTGAAAAGCATCCCCTCTTCTGGAAAAGACTACTGAATTCACGTTAACTCTTTTCTAAACTTAGGCTACACCTCTCTAGTGACCCCAAGTGGGCATGGTGATGTTAAAATATGAATTAAATTTCCTTCATAGCTATGCAAGTTGTCTACTCCATACTGGTGAGTTGTGGCTGCTTTTGCTTAAGAGGTTGGTCCACTTCACCTAAATTTTCAGTTATGTGTCGCAGAGCTGCTGTCTATATTTCCTCATCTTTTTGATGTCTGCAGGGTTTACAGCCAGCCCTATTTCACTCCCAACATTGGTAATTTCTGTCTTTGTCTCCCGTTTTTCTTCTTGGTTGGTCTTATTAGAAGTCTGTCAATTTTATTCATTTTTATTATTCTATTTTTCTAGTAATTAACACAGACCTCAAAATCACTTAGTATTTTTACCTCTGCTCTTTAAAGGTCTACTGCTTTTTCCTAATTATGAACTATCATGGAATATGACATTATAAAGGAGGCATGAGAATACGATCAACCGAAAACTTAATTCTGTAACTTTGTACTTACCAAAGTAGAGCCGCCTTTAGTCAAAGAAACTGAACATTCGTCCTCGTCACTGTCTCTACCGAAATCCTCTGGCTCTCGTCTCGGTCTTTTGGCAGTTTCAGGAGAGGGCAAACTGTCTTCCTTTCTTTTGGCCATCTGGCCTGAACAAAGCTGGATAGTGACAGTGAGGTAAGTCAGCACAGCATGCACACAATTATGCTAGGAGCATTGGACTTCATGGAATAAATCACACTCAGTCATTAAATTTACGTACTTCTACTTTAAAAATTAAAGTCTTCTCAACTGCATAGAGAAGAAGCTCTGAGTAATTCTGGAAAAAGCAAATAAAAGATTTCCCCTAGAGCCTCCGGAAAGGAATGAGCTCTGTTGACATTTCAGTGCCCAGACCAGGCCAGGCTTCTCATCCCCAGGCTGGCAGGCTAACCGATTATGGCACCTGAAGGAAAGCATGTGCATCCTCTACACCAGCTAAACTTACTTCAGAGTTACTCACAACCACGATTTTGCCAGCATGAGCCTACCTAAATGTCTTGATGCCAAATTCACAAAAGATAAAAGATTTTATTTGTGAAACTACGGTTTCTAGTTTTCTAGTGTATTAATAGATGGCACAGCACTTCCTAAATTTATTCCAGAGCAATCATACCATTTTTCAAAGTTATAAAGTAACAGCAAATCTTATAAAGCTTTTAATTTTTAAGTATTTTCTCAGAGGCATATTTTGAAGCAGTGTTGCCTAGCACCAGAAGTTTCCCTAACTGTTCTCCAAATAGTCCATGTTGTTTATTGTTTTTCCCAATATACTACAAAACATAAACCTAGGAAATATTTAGAATTACACAAGATGAGGCTGGGGATTTAGCTCAATGGTTTTGCCGCCTGCTGCACAAGCGCCAGGACCCTGAGTTTGATCCCTGGTACCAAAAAAAAAAAAAAAAATAGAATTACACAATATGCTGTTAAATATATACTGACTATGCAAAGCTGTTAAGTCTCTGAAATTAAACTTTACGCCTGATTGCAGCTTTCACTTTTCTCTTTAAAATACATTTAAAATCTAAAATAACAGGCACCTAATAACTGTTGGCTAAATAAATGGAGAAAAAACATACATAATCAAAAATGCTGCTGGGTGTGATGATATACACTTGTAATCCTAGGCACTCTGGGAGGCTACAGGAGGATCTCAAATTTTAAGTCCCCTGGGTAACTCAGTAAGATCCTATCTCAAAACAAAAGATAGAAAGGGCTGAGAGAATAAAGACTATGGGTTCAATTCACCAAAGAACAAACAAACCTAAAATACAAGAATATGAGGCCAGGGATTTAGTTCAGTGGTTTTGCCACCTGCTGCGCAAGCGCAAGGACCTGAGTTCAATGCCCAGTACCAAAAAAAAAAAAAAAGAATATGAGCTGGGTGTAGTGGTGCATGATGGCTGCAATCTTAGCTCTCAAGAGGCTGAGGCGGGAGGATCACTGGGAGTTCAAGGCCAGCCTGAACTACATACATACCAAGCCCCTAACTCAACCCCCTCAAAAGCTGAAGAATGTGAGGACTAAGATACAAGAAAATACAAGGAATGGATCCTCACGTCACTTCAGTCCCCAAGCTCTGGACCGTGGCAACCTTGTCTGTACCGCACACTCCACTCTCCTCCCCACAGCAACAGCAGCCTGAACAGGCTGGCTTTGCTCCCTCCCTCCTGGGTGTGGGTGGAAAGTTCCAGTCAGTCCTTAGGGAGAGATGAGAGCTCTCCCTGGTGATACACACAGGCCAAGACCCAGTCGTAAGACACGTGTGGTGGGAGGGGAGTGGAGACAAGGGCATTCGCTCAGTGTTTAACTTCTTAATCCAGTTTTCCAAGATGACACTGACAGAATCAATGCTGCAATATTACATTTACATTCATGTATACATCGGAGTAACTTTGGGAGAGCCACCTCTGTTACAACAGGGCATGCTTCTTTACTCAACGAAGTGGGCAGTTTGTCCCTTTTCTTCAGGCTCCAAAATGTCTACTCCAAGACATTTAAGTGTCTTTTGAAAACAAGAAAGAACTACACTTAGGCCTATTGGACAGTAAAGGCTAATTTTATGTAATCACTCGACTTCTTTTATACACTGGCTTTTACAGGTTCACTACATGCTCCTGAATCAAATTTTTTGTAATTTTATTTTCTAAAACACTGATAAAGATTCACCTTAGTTACCTTGTTTTGTACAATCGTCCACTACAGTCATGATTCTTTTCATGTAAATTCTATTAAGTTTGAGAATATTTTGAATACTTTTCTCCAAACTAGTCTTTGGTTTCTCAAGATTTTCTCCAATGAGGATATTTTAATGTTTATTCACATACTTTTACGCAACTAAATATAAGGGGTATGCAGTAGAGCTAATGCTTTGTGACTAATACCTCCTCCCAGAATACAAGTTAAAAAAGAAATCAGAAATTCTTGCAGATAGATGTACTTTTTTCTATTCTTCCGGCTAAGTGAAACTAAAAACCTTGGACATAATATATAACACAAGCATAAGACGACCCTGGAAGGTGAAGAGACCACTGAAAGACTCTGAGCTCAGGAAGGACACAGTGCTGGGTTCCCAGTTTTTGTCAAGCCTCAAATACCCCAGACTCGAGGGGGATGGGGCAACTGGGAAGCACCAAAAGGTCTGGGGGTAGGGGCACAAGAAAAGCCTGCTCACTCCATATGGAGGCCCAAAAGAAGCCTGGTACGACTAAGACACACACACACACACACTTTTACACACTAAGTGCCCTATTCCAGGCAGACACCACCATTAAAAAATGCCTCTTTCCCCACGCATGGCAGCAAAGGACAACTGGACTTCCAGCCTGGCAAAGTTAAAAGGCAGCATCTCAACAGCCTACTGGGGTAGTCAGTGAACACGCAGTAGGCCAAGTAGGGAGCCATGACAATGGTGCTGGGGAGCCCACTCAGAGCACCCACTTCCACCCACCCCAGGTAGTAAGCATGTGCCATGTGTCACCCCACCCCACACCCAGCAGCTCCAGTCAAGGGCCTAGTGAAAAGTCAGGACTTTCACCACTACCCAGAGGGGAGGAGTCTACCCTCACTTCGTTGTCCTTGGACCACATGGGAACTGAAACTGCTACCCAGCCCCTCTGTCATCACAGCTAAAGAAACAGTTCTGGTTAAATTCTACATGAGATCTGAGTCTCTTATGTCCATGGCCCAATACCTAAGGCAGCAGTTTTCAAAGGCTATGATCGCTTAAAAAGTTACTGAAGAACTTCTACTTGTATCAATGTTTACCATATTAAAAATTAAAATTGAGAAACTTGATAACACACAAGCACACTTTCTGTCAGTCACCAAAGACATCCCCCATATATAACTCTGGAAAACTTCACTCAACACTAAGTGAATGACAGTAAAAAAAAAGCAAATAATGTTTCACTATTACTGTGAAAACAGTGTTGACCTTGTAGATCTCCGCAACGAGTTTCATGAATCCCTGCACTGCACTCTGCCAACTACTGCTGCAGGGCACACTACGAGCAAGTCTGGGACACAGCACCCTAAATGACAAGCACTGAGAGCAAGAATAAAGCCAGAGCAGCGCAGACTTGATACTCAAGAGTGTGGCACACTACTGATTAGGTATCCAACATCTCAGCCCCACCCTAGAGCAAATGGGTCAGAATCTTCACAAGACTTCAGGTGACTCATAAACACCATTCTACAAAGTTTGAGAAGAGCTACAGTAAACCAGGTTAAACAATAAGGCCTCATCCTTTTTTGAAGCCAATGGAAAACCTAATCAAATATCATTTAAAAGGTATATGAATTAACATCCAAATAAGGACACTTATCTGTAAACAAATGTCTTATGAAACAAAAACATTACAGCCATAGCTGCATAGCATTCAGGATCTTCTTTGCAAATAAGTTTTTATTTTGAACCTCTTATAGAAGCCAAAACTTCAAAATCCAATCTATTTTCAAACTATTTAATAACAAGACTCAGTGTGTTTCACCTTGCCGTTACACTACCTGAAATTTTACCAGCCCATTATTCTAGTAACATTTCCTCCTCTCACCCATTCTCTATTCCCTTCTCAACCACTAAGCAATTATTTGTTAAGGAAGAGCGAAGAGAAGCCATTCCTTTCGGTTTCCCAAAGTTAAATATCATTTTAAATACTATTTTTATTAACACTTAATGGATGATCTGACAACAGGCACTCAGATATCAGCTGATTTTAGTATTTTACCACTAGAAAACAGCAGTTTTCAAGTAAAACTGGGAGGAAGGAGATGCAGTAGGCTAAGTGTGATGAGCTCAAACACTACTTGATTTTTTTTATCTGCTGGGCATAGCCAGAGATTTGCAGTTCTCTACTAGGTTGCCAAGATAACCTGCATCTAACCTGAAGGATCCTACCTTTTAAAATGGCAATCACTTTATGTGCTCACTCCGGCAGCACACATACTAAAATGACAATCACTTTGTAATTTATGAATGAACTTCTAAAAATGAATTTTTAATGAGTTTTTAAAAACAGTAATGTCCTGAGAGCTAAACACAGGTTAAGAATAGTAAAACCGTTTCCAAGAGTATAAAGACATACAAATGCAAAAATAAAAAAATCTAAGTATTGTGTAATGCACAAAATGTCTCTGGCATTTTGGATATATTGATAAAGCTCTATATAGTTTATTTATAGTTCATTGTTTTGTTTTGTCTTTTGTGGTACTTGGGATAGAACAGGACCTTGCACTTATGAGGCAGGCGTGGCACCACTGAGCTAAATCCAGCTCTACATAGTTTCTGCTAGTTAACTTGCTGCATTTTTGTTGTTGTTGCTTGTTCTGCAGTTGGAGGGATCAAATCCAGCAGCAATCTACCACTGGGCTACATGCCCAGCCCTTTTTGTTACTTATTTGGAGAGAAGGACTAGCCAAATTGGCCAGGCTGGCATGGAATGTATAAGTCCTCCTGCCTCAGCCTGTGGAGAAGCTGAGAGGACCAGTGTGTACCATCATGCCTAACAATCTGAATTAATGAACATACTATTTCTTTCTTACAGGAAGCAAATTCCATCTGTGGAGACAGTACAGATCATCAAAGAAAAACAAGTTCAAAGGAAAAACTAAAGGTTGAGGAGGTTCACTATAACATACAGACATGTAGGACATTTGAAAGATCATGTAAATTATAAAATTAAAAATTTCTTACTTTGAAGTCCTACTAAGTATCTATTAATTTGTAATTAAAAATATAAAGGTGGAAATTAATGATAGTGACAGACAGAATTACAACAGTCAAGTTTTAGAAAAGAATTTAAATTATCAGGATTTTTTTTAAGGCTACTTCTGACTGCAATGGATTGTATGGAAGTCATTTTCCAACTCCCCTTTTCCCACATAAAAAGACATTCATTCTACATTAAACAACCTTATTTTTCAATGTACTAAATTAAGTACATTGGAATATATGATGAAATCAAATGAGATTCACTTCATAATAATATAAATATGGAAGTGAATAACTGTAAGTTCTCTCATCAAAAATTCTGTTGTGGCAAATCGGGAGTCGAAATGATCTTTCAGAGACCAGGACAGTAGGGTAAAAAAAAAAAGTTTATTGCCAGGCAATGGCCAGCCTCAGGAAACAAGTCCTTCTAGGCCGACCACGAGTTAAAACAATTTCTCCTTTTTATACCTTTTACAGGGTAGCTTAAGTTGCGGTTACCCAGCAGAATGTGGCAGAGATGTGATAAAGCAGCATTAGGCAATTTTCCATGGTTTCAAGGTTGGGTGCTTAGATAAACACACTTCAAGGCTGGCTTCTAGTCTATCAGGAAACAGGCTACCCCACCAGAGGGGGAAGGCCCACCCGGAGTTATCAAACAGGGACAAGTTGACACAGACGGGGGTTTTAGGGGTGGCACACACAAAGTACAGTGCATTATTGCTATATTAACTTACCCAGCTTATGAAATATTTTACAATAATTATTCATTTCAAGTTATGTTTGGCAGCTCTTTCAGCCTCAATTCAAGACCAGCAAAATTGGGAAGTACTGCACAAATAAGCATTTCAGGTAATAAAATATGAACACCCAGATTTGTGTGTTGAAAACATGCCTGTGGTCTCCATACACTGGACAGACCAGACAGAACAACAAAGAAGAGACTGGTTTCTAACTATGAATGACTGTATAAAAACTGGTAATGCCAGGAATGAGGAGAAAGGAATGAAATCAAGAGATTTAAAAGACTGGGTACAACTCCTGTTGAGCAGAATTAATATTTGTTGAGTAACACTTTGCTTTATATCCTTGATCTTCCACATCTCTATGAGGAAAGTAAGGCCTTTACCTTTCAGAAAGACGAACTGAGGCTCAAGCCAAACACTTGAACTTGTAGCTATTAACTTAGTTCTAATTCATAAAGGCTTATGTAGTTCAACAACTTAGCAGAGCTCAGAGTCAAACCCAGGTCTGCCAAACCAAGTCAAACCTTTTCAACATCCAGTTTCCTACTGCATAAACTGAGTTTAACTGACAATTTAATTATTCATAAGCAGTGAAATAGGTTATTAATTTATACTTTTTTTTTTTTTGGTACCGGGGATCGAACTCAGGAACTTGTGCTTGCAAGGCAGGCATGCTACCACTGAGCTAAATCCTCGGCCTTATTAATTTATTCTTTATCTTCTTGTCGATCCTTTATTAAAACTACAAAAAATTCTGTGCGTCCTTCCAATGTTCTAATTAAGTCAAACTTTGGCCTTGCTTTTGTAAGGTCTCATTTAGGTTTCATCTTCTCACTTAATGCTAACTGCTATCATAAGACAGAGGTTTGCCAAGGAGAGACGCTCAATAATCCATTTGTTTTGTTGGAAAATGCTACCTTCAATGTGCTCCTAGGACACTGACAAAGGCCAGGAGTAAAATAAATTCTGTGGGAGAAGTGGGATTCAGGAATGGAAGAAAGAAAACTACAGAAAATAGTTTGAATCAGATGACAAAGGCCCGTTGCGTGAGAAAAGACACAACTAATTCAGTCTATCAAAACTGCTAACCTTAACCAGGCATGCTGGCACATGCCTGCAATCCCAGCACTCTGGGAGGCTGAGGCAGGAGGAACACAATTTTGAGTCTTGAGGACAACCCAGTGATTTATCCAGACCTCGTCTTAAAATATAAAAAGGGCTGGTGGTGTAGCTCAATGCAAAAACCCTGCATTCAACCGTGGGTACTGCCAGATAAAGTATTGTGTAAGTGAGTGCACCTGACGCTCAGCTGGATTTAAGGTTTTTACATAGAGCTGTGGATGATGATGGCTTAAATATAATTCATAATACAGTACCATGGTAACATTTGGAGTGATTAATTCCTGAAAGTAAGCCAAGTACTTTTCTTTCTTTTTGGTGCTGGAGACTGAACTCAAGCCCTCGGGCATACTAAGCACTCTATCACTAAGCTACGCCCCACCCAGACAGGTACATCTTTGATTTATTTACCTAATTTTGATTTTGAAACAATCAAGATTTTGGCAGATTAGGCTCTCAAAACTTCGGCAAATAAAACATATTTTCCACTGTAACAACTTTAAAACGCCACTTACACTTTTTGCCAGGCTCAATACCAAATGCTTTATGGTTTACACTTATTACAGACAGACATCAATAAACAACTATACTTGCCGTATTTAAGAATCTTGAGTTAGGCATTTAAAGAGACCGTACTAAGCTGCCCGAGTACCAGAGTTCTGTTTCCGCCGCGAACAGACATGCTTTTAAGCAATACACTGGCGGTCTCCAAGACTTTTTGTGCACGCGCCTACTCAGGAAGAGAAGTTGACAGCCAACATCTAAGAACAACTGCTAGAACGCACAGCGCTGGCGCGACGCGGAGCGACCACCCCTGAGCGCGGGTCCCTCCCGCGGGGCGCACGGCCCGGCCCGGCGCAGCTGCAGCCCCACTGCGGCCTCGCGGGACGCGGCGGGGCCCTCGGCTTCCGGCCGGCCGGGGCAGCCACGGGTCCCGGACACGGCTGAGGACGAGGCTCGGGCAGAGCGCCCGCCCGCCCCAGGACACGCGGCAAGGGAAGCCCAGCCGAGCCGCCGCCCGAGCCGGGCCAGGGCGCCCGCTGCCCTCTGCGCACGCCGGACCCGCGGCCCAGGGCGGGGCGGTCCGGCGGGGCGGGGCGAGCGCCTCACCCACCTCCGATGGGTCGCGACGGTCCGGAGCAGTCCGGCCACCGGGGCTCCGCAAGGGCGACCGGCGACGAAGGCCGCCCCGAGGCCGCCGTCAGCCCGCGGGAAGCCGCACCCGCCACAGCGACCGCGGCCCGGAACTGGAGCCCACCGCCGAACCGTCTGCGCCTGCGCCCCGCCCCTCGCGCCCGCGCGCGTGCGTGCTCGGGGGTTCGCGCCCCTGGGGTCCGGGGGCCGGAAGTGCCCGCGGGCGGGGAAAGCTGGTTGGCGCTAGCGGCGGGGCGGGAGCTTTGGGGCCCGACCCTGGGCGTCCGGGCAACGCTCCACGCCTGCGTCGGCTGCCGGCTACCTTAGGAGCCCGCGGGGAGCGGGCGCGCTGCTTTGCGGAAGAGGCGGGGCCGGCGGCCGAAGCGCGGGCTCTGCGCGAGGAAAGGAGGATCTCGGGTTTCCTTCTGGTGGGAGCTCAGGGGCTGGGCGGTCGGGCTTGGGGCCCCCTGGTGAGGGGCAGCGGGGCTTCTCTGAGACCTAGGAGGAGGCGGCGTCCGGTAAGTCCGGGGACTGCAGGCCGGCGCGGCGGCCCTGCCTGCGGGCGGCTCGGCTCGCTGCTGAGCTGTGCACCGCCTCCCGGCCTCCTGGGGCGGCGCCCGCGCGAGGCTCTGCCCTGCCCTGCGCCTGTGCGTGTGGTCCCTGCTCCCCCGGCGCCCCGCGCAGCCTCCCGAGCAGTGAGCTGACCTGCTCCCTGCGTTCCGTGATCCCGAGCCCCGTCTCTGAGAAGGAGTGTCATTTGCTGACCTCCGCCATCAAAGTGAAGTCCATACTCCGGTAATGAAATTTCCTCCTTCGAAGTCAATTTCTACTTCTAAACGCAGTCAAAATTGTAGTATTGCGGGCCGGGGATTTAGCTCTAGTGCCGCCCCCTGCCTCCCAAGCGCAAGGTACTGAGTGCGATCCCCGGTACCAAAAAAAAAAAGAAAGAAAGAAAGAAAGAAAAACTGTATTATTGTGGCCTTTGCCAAGGATTAATGAACCGGGACCACACGATCCTTGTTGGTAACTAGTGGGAAGCATCTGGGAGGTCCCTCTTAGATGTCACATCCTTTATGCCCAAGACAAGATAGGGCACCTCTTTTCTGTGTAGTCCTGGGGCCTCCTCTTCTTAACATAAGTTCCTGAACTTCTCACATTGTTAAATTGCCCGTTTTTTCTACATCTCATCCTACCAAGGTCCTTAAATGCAGAACCTGATTTTTCCATTCTTTGTACATCTCCCGCACCATCCTAGAAGCATTCCTGGTAGTAAAGATTTGATAAATATCTGTTGGTAACAGGGGGGTTAAACCTGGGTTAGAGTAAGCCCCAAAGTTCAGGCTAAATTCACATGAAAGTAAATTTGAAAACTTAATTTTAAAAAACATAATTAGTAGCGGGGTGCAGTGGCACACCCCTGTAATCCCAGCACTGGGGAGGCTGAGGCAGGAGGATCGCTGCAAGCTCAAGGCCTGCTTGGGCTACAAAGCGAGACCCTGCCTCAAAAAAAAACCCCAAAATAAATAAATAACATAATTAGTGAAATTGTATGATAAATCCTGTACAATACAATCTTGTACTGAAAGTCTACACCATTTACTAATCATTATATGAAAATATAATCATCTTAACTGGATTTGGAAGATTTAACTATTTCCTGCCTTTTTGTTAAACTTTATAATTTTTCTGCTTAAATTTATAATAAATTAGAAAACTTGTTCTTTTAAATGTTTGTTTTGCATAAATCAATCTGACTTCTTTTTATGTTCTTTAAATTTGATTCGTTAGTGAAATTAGCAACATTGTGTTTTTCTCACCTCATTCAGTTTTATAATTAACCAATAAAATCTTACTAGCTTTTAAGGAAGTTTTAGGAGCATAAATTCATTTATGGGCACCATATGGTTACATCAAAGGTTCAGGTTTTGTTTTTGTTTTAACTTGAAGTGGATTCTTAAACCCTGTATTTAAGTAGAAATTTATGTCCTTTCTACCAAACATTAATTTCTGAAATAGAATGATTTTTTAATACTAAACTACCAAAATTGGTCACGAGAGCCAGGGATTTAACTCAGTGGTTCCACTGCCTGCCTTGCAAGCACAAGGTCCCGAGTTTGATCCCCAGTACCAAAAGGCAAAAAAAAAAAAAAACTGGTCATGAGATTCAAAGGATATTAAATCTTGCAGTTGATCTGGTTTAATACCTGCCATTTTGGAGATTATGGAGCTCCAAGACCAAAATCCTAGGATTTTTCCATACTCCAAGTCCAATGCTCTCTTCACTAAACTAAATAAATTGAAGGCATTCCTGGTTATAATGTTTGCTATGTGTTCTTATTTTGTTGCTACAGATTTAAGTAAACTAAATAAATTGAAACCATTCATAGCCTAGTTATTTATCTCTTGTTCTGTTGATTGCCTTTTCTTGTGCCATATTAATTCTTAAGAATTGTAGGTATGTTTGAAGATTCATTTTTATTTAGTATATATTGATTGCACGATCAGATTGACCATGCATAGTTACAGGATTTGAGCAGGGAATCACCAAATCCCACACCACAAAACGCGACCATACGAGAACCATCTGTGCATTGTAGTTCAGTACCTTAAAGGCTGTTGCCTTCCGTGCCTTTTTGGAATTTTATATGCATTTGTAGTTTTAATCTTTGCTGTTTAGGACTCCCGAGGGGCACGCCTAAGCGGCCAGGTCTGGCAGGAGCCTGGCCGGGTGCGCCGGGCCGGGAGCGGGGACTGAGGGCGCCAGGTGAGTGGCTGGGAGTTCGGCCACTCTCCCTCCCGGGGCCGGTGGGCCGGTGGCCTCTGCCTTCCCGCCCGGGAGCGCTGTGCACCCTCCTCTCCTGCCACTGCCTGGGAGAAGCGTGTACACGTGCACGTGAAGAAGCAGGTATTCCAGGCAAAGGTGTTCCCGGCGGGAACCGGGCCACCAGGCTGAGTCACTTGAAGCCTGGGGTCAGCAGGAGCTTGCAGTAGGCTTTGTTCCTCCGGTCCTGGGAGCATTTGGATTGCCCTGCCAATTGTGCTCCTCCTGAACTCTCCCTCTGGAGAAATTTTTTGGCGTTCCTACCTACGTAGTGTCAACAGAGCCTTATTTTCTGTCCTATAGACCTTTTCTCCCGTCTTAAATGACAAAGCCTCTAGTATTTACCTTGTGTTTTCCAGCAATCCTGGGCATTGTATGATTGAACAATGGAAAGGAATAATTTTTACTTTCCAAAATAATTAAAAAGTGATATTATTGTCACTTTATAAGAGCATGGATTAATTTTAAAGCCAGAACTTAATAATGTATTTTTAAAAACTTTTGTCCATATTGAAAGACTTTGATTAGATAGCTTAATATTTTTTAAATCCATTTTGGTGAATACATGGGGACTGTACATTTAAAAGACTTTGAGATAGATTAAAGAATATGCTAACCAGAGGACTGGCAGTGCGAGACATTCTACAATGTATCACATGACTAAAGGAAGGAAAATGGAGAACAAATGTGTCAGCACGGAGATAGCTCATGTTTGACCCTCTGGAAACCAATAGACCACTCAGTTCCAGACTTTTGTCACTATTATTCATACCAGTTGTGTTCAGGTAGCCATTATTATAGTAGGGTGGTGTTTACTCACATTTTAAAAATACAGACAAAATAGATGTTCTACGTAAATATTTACAGATAATCTGTTCTACTACCATTGCTAGTTTTTTAATAGAACTGTGGCTACTCATTCTTTAAACCAGGTTTGCTTCTTTCATAAGAAACTAAAATAGCATGAAAAGTTGTTTTTAGTGTAATAATGTTATATTAAGGGTATCTCTGGGGTTAAAAACCCTCTTTCTGGACATAATCTAATCTGTGGGAAACTTAATTGAGCATCCCTAACCCTTAAATTTGATGCTTTCAGATTTAAAACTGAGCACCAACATGTTGCCACAGCGGAAGTTTCTCCATATCGTGTAACTTTGTTTCATGTAGAAGGTGTGAAATATTGTGTAAGACTGCCTTCAGACTGTGTGTGCTAGGAGCATATAAAATATAGATAGACTTTGTGTTTAAACTTGGGCTTCATCCCCAAGATGATTCATCATATATACGCACATATACCTAAATCTGAAGTACTTCTGAGCCCAAGAACTTGAGAGACTCAACCTGTAATACAGTCAACTCTAGACATTTTTCTTTTCTAGGCATGGCTGCCCTCAGAGAGTAATATACTCTGTTAAAATCTTTCCAGAAGGACCCTAGTGTTTTTGAAATATTTGGAGAGCTAAGTCTGTAAACCAAGGTCTACTTCCTCTACGTTTCTTTCTTTTTTACCACAACTCTCTAAAAGAATACAGTTCATAAAATGGTCCTACGGATAAATGTGTGTTTATGTGTGCCATCATACACAACGCTGGCACAGGCAGCAGTCTTCCCTGCTGCTCATTTGCATAGGCAGTTAACTCAGGTAATGAATGAAATATTGGAGGAAGGATTGAACATTAGAGCAGGGAGGACCAGAGCATAGATGCGCCTTGCCCGAGACCACACCACTGCTTGTTGGGCAATTTGAAGAAAATCTTGACAATGGGAATCTCTTTTTCCTCAAAAGCCACATTTAGGTTGTATTTCTTTTTTAGTCGCTTATAAATTTGTAAAATATTAACACATTTGGTTGCTTAATGCTTAGGCGAGAAGCAAACTATCTAAAGCTATTTCCTTACAGATAGGGCCATACCTTTAAAAATTTATTTTAATCTGAAAAGTAATGAATAACATTTTAAAAACAAAACACAAGGGGAGAAGAGTAATTCTTGTCATCTCTAATATATAATTTAGTTTGTACCTATTTTTATTTTAAAACTTGGAGGCTGTTTTTTTTTTTATCAGTACACATGTCTATACCAGTTTTTAATTTACGGCTTCACTATTTGAACATAACATAGTTTACTTAATTAGTGTTTTTATTACTGAATGCTTGGTTCTTCCCCATGTCTCACTATTACAAGCAATGCTACAGTGAATTTTGTTGTATATAAATTTGTACATATTTAAGAGTGTATCCTAAAATAGATTTCTAGAAGAGATATGACTAATGCTTTTAAATTTTGAATGCTAGAGTCAAGGTCACATTTTAATAAACAAGATTATAGCAGTATTTCTCCAGAAAGAGGAATTGCTTAGTTCCCTTCCATACCAGTCTATTCCAGTATCCAATGAGTGTCATGAATGAAACCAAAACTATCGACAAGAACTTTCCCTGAAACTGAGTTATGTTTTCATATGGTTGATAGTTTTGAACCCTCATTTCCTTCCATAATAATGCTTTAGAAAACATTTCAGAGTTCACCACTTTTCACATTTACTCTGAATCTGTGCCCCAGGGCTACATTCAACCAGTGCAGCTTCTTGGTGTGAAACAGTGGTAGCACTGGATTCCCATTAACTACACAGAATGCTTTGTGTTTGTATCTGTGTATTTCTTGAAGAAGGAACATTTCTGTGTATATGTACTTCTTCATAAAAATTAGCACACAAATTATATGGTGGCACTGAATAAATCACAAAATTAAGATTTAAAAAAAAAATTACAGATAGCAAGACTTCTGTCATTTGTTTTCTTTTCATCCATGTGCCGTTTGAGAACATTTACTATTTAGAATAGACTCCATTAAAGGAAAAGACAATAGTTTTTATTCAGAAAGTTTGTCATACAGGTGGTAGGTGGTCTTTTGACTTCTGTGCTCTTGTCTCCTACGTTGTATTTTGTTGTGAATTGAGGTTATTACCCAGAGAATAAAATCTGGGTTGTATTTGTACAGTCAGACTTAATTTCATTGCAAATGTGATGTAATTTCTTTGCTGACTAACACAGGAAAAGAAAAACGTGTGAATATTTACTAAGGAAAAGTTAGCCTATAGAAAATACCAAAGTAGTTACAATAACAGAATTGAAGGCAGTTTGGTTCATGAAATAACCTGTACTGTCCATAGAAAAAAGTTTAGCATTGGTTTTTATTGGGTGGGAAAATGTCTTTATTTTTCCACAATGAACATGTGTCACCATGGAATTAAAAAGCCAGTACCCTTTTTTTAAAATATATGTAACGATGTATTCTTTCAGCAGTTCTTCACTGTCTCATGATTTTTCTCCCATTTTTCCACCAAAATTTTCCTTTATTAACCTTGGGTTTTTGTTGTGTTTTTCCTTAGTTGTTTGTTTCCATTCTTCCTTGTTGTTTGTCCCATTCTCTTTAAACACGTATGTCAAGGGGTGAATTCTCAACTTGACAAAAATGACTTATAGCATCCCTCCATTTTCTACCAGCCTCTGCATTTGGTAGCTCATTTTACTAACTGGAACAAAGCCAGTGACTGCTTTTGTCATGTTCTAGGTGTTGATTCATTTCAGAAAGTTGACTAAGCAAGAAATCAGAAGAATCCTCCCTGAGCTATCCTGTGATAGTTCATAATAAAGTGTTTGAGTTTCTGTCCCGAAATTGTTTCTTTTAACAACTTTTTGTAAAATGTGTTTCAAATAACTGCAGATAATCGCCAGAATGGGAGTGAATGGCTTGTGGCAAATTTTGGAGCCTGTGAAGCAACACGTCCACCTCCGGAGTCTTAGTGGGCAAACCATTGCGGTTGACCTGAGTGTCTGGGTGTGTGAGGCACAGTCTGTTAGGAAAATGGTGGGGACTGTGACGAAGCCCCACCTCAGGTATGGTAAAAGTGCTTAGCATGAACCTGTGACTAAAACAGCCTTGGTTTTGTCTGGGCTTTGTTTCTTGTGTCATTGGAGAGATTTTAAAACCTGATTAGCATGTCTGACTCTGATGGCCCACAGACTCTTTGAGCTCCAGACTCGCGTCTGCTTTTACCTAGCACATCCTCGAGGATGCTCTGATTGCTGAAAGGCAGATCTTTAGGAGCCACTCGCTCACTGTTTCACCTCCTTCGAATCCGGTCCGTCAGCAGGTCTTGGCAGCTCTCCTTGCAGAGCATACTTCACGCTCACAAACCTCAGCCTATGCCAACCTCATCTCTCGCCTGTGCTGCTGAAACTACACCGGTAGTTCCTTCCCTCCTTCTTAGGGTCCTCCTCCAAACCACTCTCGTTCTAGCAGTGATGATGGTCAGAAATCCCCCATGCACAGAAGTGCTCCTGTGTCCCCGCTAACTTAGAATTAACTCGCTCAGTGTTTGTCCCGTGTAATTTCTGGGTACTTTGTCTGTCATACTATGTTTTTGCTGCTAATACGTTATACATCAGTGATTTATATATTTCAGGAACTTATTTTTTCGTGTCTCCCATTTAATGCAAATGGATATAAGACTGGTGTTTGTTATGGAGGGGGAACCAGCAAAGCTGAAAGCTGGTGTCATGAGCAAGAGGAATCAGATGCGGTACGGGCCTTCTGGGAAAACAGGGTCTCAGAGAACAGGAAGGTCACGTTTTAAGTTGGTCTTACGAGAGGTGAGGATTCATGTTTGGTTTTATAATTCTGACTTGAATTGAAGAGTACATTTTGCTCTAATAAGTTTGTCAGTTTTAGAAACCACTAGCCATACTGTGACCAGGAGAGCAGAGAGCAGTGTGGAGAGAAGAGTTTGTGCTTCAGAGGAAAGCTGACCTGAGTTCAAGTTCCAGCACTAAAATTGGGCAGGATTTTTAAGCTACCTGTACCTCAATTCTTGTACGTGAATGAGGATAGTAACAATTAGCAGAGAAAATAGATCCAGAGTAACAAGAACATGATAGGGACTTGATGATCTTACCTTTTATAACATCTTCAGCACTTAAAGAATTCCTAGAATACAAGAGGTGATCAAAATATATGGTGAATGTGTGTGTGGGTGTATTAAACTTTATTCAGTAAAAGACACATTGTCATTAACCCCCCTCAAAAAATTGCTCCTCACTTTGAATGAGTGTGTTTGAAATGAGGGGGAAGTATTTTGAGGGGGATAAATGGCAATGTGTCTTTTACTGTAATGTTTGTAAAAATAAATTTAAGCATTCACCATACTTTTCAGTCATACCTTGTACATGAGATCTCAATCCCTACTTCACTCATCAAAATTTTTGATAGATTGCCGGGGATTTAGCTCAGTTGTTTCACTGCCTGCTGCACAAGCACAAGGACCCGAGTTCGATCCCTGGTACCAAAAAAAAAAAATTTATGATAGATCATATATAGAATATACATATTTTGCTTCCCTTTGGGTTTATAATTTTGAAAAGTAATTGTTATGTTTTATTTATACATTACTTGTGATATTGCTGTACTTCCTACTTTTATAAAAGTCAAGAAAAATTACCTCCAATTGATATAATACATAATTTAAGTAAAAATCAGCCACGATTTTCTTTGTCTCTTTTCAAATGTGTGTTTTTAAAGAGTCGTTTAACAGTGTACAAATAATATTTATTGTGAACTTTTCACTTATACACATAGTTCCCTATTTCCACCTTCTATTGAGAAATCATAGGGGCCAGGGGTTTAGCTTAGTGGTTCCAGCGCCTGCCTCACAAGCGGAAGGTCCCGGGTTCAATAACCGGTACCAAAAAAAATCATAATCTGTAGTGGTTGTGAAACATGTCAAGCTATGAATCATTACCAGGATTGCATATATTGTTTATTTTTTAATTTTTCTGTGTATATAGCTTTTTCTTATGATTTGGGACTTTAGATAGAATTACCCCAATGGAATAAAAAAAAAAATAGAATCAATAGACCAAAGTTTTGGATTTTGTAGCTCTTACCAATTCTACCAATACAGATGTGAGAAACAATTTTAGTGCACTCAAAAACACTGGATATTAGTGGATTTGTCTTTGTAGTATGCAGAAACAAAGACACTTTGTTTAATATGTGTCGATCTTTTAATGATGAGTTAAACAGTTTGCCAATTTTTAGTGTCTTTAGGTAATGGCCATCATGTCCTTTACTACCTGTTTCTAAGGTTAATTATTTCTTTTGTGCAAGTTCCTTACATATTGAGGATACCTGTCATTTATTTGCTATGAATTCATTTTTCTATTTTTCTTTTCAGTTTGGATTAAAAACTGCATTTCTTTTAAAAGGCACTGCATGAACTAATGGTTATTTTTCTCTACTTCTGAAACTTTGTCTATTTTCTATCCTTACATGATGTTTTTAAAAGTAATTTTCAGGGCTGAAGAATCTGGCTCAGTGCTAGAGCACTTCCCTAGCTGACATTAGGCCTTGAATTTGATTCCTAGCAGCACACACTCAAAAAATTTTACATTAATGAGTATTTTATCTTAGTGACTGTCAGTAATTGAATGAAACATCTGCCAGGATTATAATTAATTTCTTGTGTAATTAGTTGCTAGAAATATCCATAGACTTCATACCTGGAACATTTAAGTACCTAGTATCTCTATCTCTTCTTAAGAAAATTGTTCCACTCCTTCTTGTTTTTGTTTTTGTTTTTGTTTTTTGGGGTGTTTTTTATATACACCAGGGATCAATCTCAGGACCTTGTACTTGCAAGGCAGGCGCAGCACCACTGGGCTAAATCCCCAGCCCCTTTTTGCAATAATTATGGTATGCTTAGGCATCTTGTGTCAGTTCGGTATTGTTTGTCTATTACTCATTTTCATACTTCTGTACTCTTTCAGTTGGCCCTACTTCCTCCTAATCCACTGCCAACTGTAGGAAAAGCGCAAATTAGTCATTCTCCAACACCACCTCCACCCTACATGATACCCAGATAAAGTAGAAAAAATTGCAACCAGCCTATCACAACTTCTATGTTACTCCTTTGCAGTTTTAATGACAAATGTCTCAGGAATTTGAAATAGCTTTGTCTATTATGAAAGGATGCTTCTAATCTAGAGTCAAGGAAGAAGCAACACCTGCAACAAAACTATTCCCTAAAGTCATATGAGCAGAGCCCTGAAAAGCAACATTTTCAACATAGTACTTTGTCTTTTTGAACTTGGGCAACATCTGGCAAAGTGTTTTGTATATAATGTAGCATGCAAGTGATTAATTAGTCCAGGTGAGAGGTGTTTAATTATTAGTGTCCACAAAGGACAAGTAAATAGATTTTTCCAGCATATTCAGTATTGCCTAGTACAGGGAGAACAACATAGGACAAGAAAGAGGAACTAGGCAGTATGGATAAGGTACAAGCTGTTCAGCTGGGTTGAAGCCATAGGCCAAAGAAATCTCACAGCAGGTTATTTATGTATCACAAAATGACATAATCATTATACACAGACATTTGACTTTTATATGCGGACACCAGCGACTGACCTCTACATAGTTTCCCACAACATGAAAGTTTCATGGTAAAGGGGAGGCAACATGAGAAAAAACTTGTAAGAAAACTTTACATCTTCAAGCATTATTTACCAGCATCTGTGGAGTTTATATTGTTTTGACCATTATGTGAGAAAAGTGATGGTAGTTTTACACATAATTTTTCATGTGATCAATTCTTATTTCAAGCTGTTGAATCTACAGATAATAGCCTTCAACAAAACAGTAGCAGTGATATATGGATTACATTGTAATTGACATCATAAACCTTAACTTTTGATGACAGAAAATTCTAAATCAATAGAGAAGTCACTGATCACCACTGTTAAACATTTGTCAACTCTTGGTCCACCTTGTTTTATCTGTGCTCCTGCCCACTCCCTACTTCCACATTATTTCAGAGTAAGTCCAGTCATAACATTGTATAATTCTCAATATTCATGTGCTCCTCTCTTAACAGATGCCTCTTAGAAAGGAAACATAACCACAATGTGATTTTTATTGTCATACCTAAAAGTTTAACAATTGTTCCTCTATCCCACCAAGATTGCCAAGTGTTTCTTCCTATTTTAAAAATTCCTAAATAGCTACTGTTACTTGTAATGGAAATTACATGTGAAGAAATCAGCAGTAAAAGCGTCTTTACGTTCTCACGTTGGCTTTTACTTCAGTGCCTTGAAATGCTGGAGTGCCTAGGCGTGCCCTGGGTGCAAGCAGCAGGGGAAGCTGAGGCCATGTGCGCTCACCTCAATGGCACTGGCCGTGCTGACGGCTGCCTCACGGACGACGGCGATGCTTTCCTCTACGGGGCCCAGACGGTGTACAGGAATTTCACCATGAATGCACAGGTACTCTTCTTCCTTTTAGGGTTGTTTGCAAGTTACCTTTTAAAGGGGCTGATTAAATGAACATATATATGAAAAAAATGCTTCCCATCATGCCTGCAAAGTTGCAATTGTTTGGTTTGGTTTGGTTTGGTACCGGAGATTGAACTCAGGTCCCTGCACTTGCGCAGCAGGTGGCAAAACCACTGAGCTAAATCCCCGGCCCAAAAGTTGCAATTGTTAAATGAATGTTTGCTGTTTCTAAAAATATTATTGTTATATAAAGAATATGTTCAAAAATAATGGCGTTTAATTTATTTTTAAACACTTGAACACATTGCATTCGTCCCTGTCAATATAATCCCTTTTGCTTCAAGACACACTTATCCCACCGTGCTTTCCACCTTCTGGAGCAGTTCTGGAAGTCTTTTGTGAGTGTCTTCAGCTGGACTGTCCTGGCTGCCTTGGTGTACTGAATCAATTGAAACGTTTGCCTTTCATGGTCCTTTTGACTTTGGAGAAAAGCTGGAAGTCCTATTACTAGATCCAGTGAATACTGTTGAGAAGACACACCAGAATGTTTTTATGAGCCTGCCTTTTTGGAGGATGGCACTCAGCAGTAGCTTTCACCACATTTCTTACCGTACTTCGTAAAGATACTCACAGAAGAGGATTTCCAGAACTGCTTTAGAAAGTGGCAAGAACAATTCAATGTGTTGAAAGAAATGAGGAATGTTGGGGGAAGGGTGATAAAAGTGTGTCTTTTACCGTAATAAATTTTTATTTAAGCACATACCATCTAGAAAGGATTTTGAAAGTTCCCTTCATGAATAGATATTTGAGGAGATATTTACTTGGTTTACACATTACAGGTATGTATGTATGAAAACATATGTCTATTGTAAACACGTATTTTTTTTGCATTTTCTATATCAGTTAAAAATTTTAAAAATTTTAAGTCATTGCTATATAGTTAGTCCTCTTCAAAATGTGAATTTCTAGGGTCGGGGATTTAGCTCAGTGGTTCTGCCTCCTGCCTCACAAGCGAGTTCCATCCCCGGTACCAAAAAAAAAAAGTGAATTTCTGTACTAAAGAAACCATTGTTTCACATGGTTTAATTCTAAATAATTTTCAACATTGTATCACAAAGGTATATGTGATCTTTGACCCCAAAACACCTCTAAGTGTGCGAGAAGATAGATACAGGCAGAATATTCATTGTGGCATTGTTAATGATTATAAAGATTTAGCCAGCAACCAAATGCTCATTGATAGGAGAATGGTTAAGTTCTTTACATGTTTTAGAGGCAGGAGGTTGGTTACTGCCTGTGTTTGTTTCAGTTGTAACAATTCAGAGTTGAGCAGGGAGCCTACACTTAGACCTTTGTCGGATTAGGACCAGACAAGCTAACCCTGCTGCCCACCATCCTTTTATTCCTGCCAAGAGGCGAATAGTGCCTCCATTGAAAAGCACTGGCTCAGAGCCCGTATCCAATAAGAAGAAGTTGTTGGAAAGGTGCGTATTATTGACATAAAAGATATGTAGGCATACTACTGGGAGGAGATGCAAACCATTTCAAACTGTTGAAGTGTCAGATTCTATTAAGATTTCAGAGATCAGGATAATTTTCATGTTTAAATTTTTTAAATAATTAAACATTTAAAGATAACTCATAAATTACTTTTATAGTATTATTTAATATGTAAGCACTTTCGAAGATTAAACTAAAGCTATACTTTCTTCAGGACCCACATGTTGACTGTTATACCATGTCATCTATCAAGAATAAACTAGGCTTGGACAGAGATGCTCTGGTTGGATTAGCCATACTTCTTGGATGTGATTACCTTCCAAAGGCAAGCTGAAAACATACTTACTTATTATTCAGAGTATGTCGTTGTGGTACCCTGCATCCTGTATAAATATGAAAGTGATATATGATTCAGGATCTAATTTAAAATATAAATGACATACTACATCATACTGTAACTAATTTAGCAATTTAAAAGCTGATTTGTGACACTGAATGTAAACATGAATAGCATAGTAAGTAGTGCCAGAGTTTGAACCCAGATGAAGAGATCCATGTTCAAATTTGACTACCCCTTTGAAGGAGTATGACCAGACATTGTGATGCACGTCTATATTCCCAGCACTTGGCAGGCAGAGGCAGGAGGATCACCAAAAGTTCAAAGCCAGCCAAAGGCTTTGAATTTAATGAGTTCAAGGCTAGCCTGAGCTATATATTCTGTCTCAAAAAATCAAAAATATTTAACAACTAAGAGTATAGGACTAGCTGTCTTCTTGTATAATACCAATGCTAGTTGCTATCATTGTTTTATCTGTTTTTTAGTTTTCAATTTCCAATGTAGTTTGCCAGTTGTCCACATGTTCAGTGTTATTACTGTTGCTTAGCAACATGATTATGGAAATAAACCATATTTTCTTGCATTTTAGCATTGCATGGGTTTTGTTTATGGAAACATTTTTTTTACATGTTAAGAGTGCGTGCTTTAGTACTCTAACAATGTTAATAGGGTGTGTGATAAATTAAGAATTATGAGGATAACCCCATTTTCTTAAATACTATATTTAAAAATAAATGACCAGAATTGTATGTCTTACTATATACTCCCCTCATTATGTCCCTGTCAGTAACATCTCACATTTTACCTCTATTCCCAAGAGTAGTACAAAAAAGTGAAATATAATTTTTTTTTCATTTAGTTGTTCTGGCTTGTATCTAGATGTCCCCCAAGTGTGTAATGCCGGGATTAAGGGTGCCCCACCCTGGGTATGTGTGGCTCAATCAATAGGCATACAGCCTAGATGGACTATAGAGGGATAGAAAGAAGGTGTTTCTGCTGCTTCTTCGCTGCTGCCTGCTACTCCCTGCTTGCTGCTTTGCTGCCTTCTGCCCGCTATAAACTGTTTCTCCTCTGCCATGCTGACTATGGAATGAGACCTTTACAAACTGAGCTGAAGTAAACCTTTCATTTTTACCTTTGGGTGTCAGGTATTTTATCTCAGC